GTCTAGGACTCCATTTTTGGTTGTGGTGAAAAATCAGTGTATTAATAAGTTGTACATCATGCATACAACCTTGTAATTAAGAGATTTTTTTATTTTGTGCTTTAAAAGCTTGTATTCAATGCATTACAACTTGTATTTAAGACTTTGGTTTAAATACTTATTAATGTAGTGTGTGTGTGTGTGTATAAATATATATANTAATATATAAATTATTTTGGTTTCATTTTTAATTTAAATTGAAATCAAACTATATATAAAAATGAAATTAGAATCAGTATAATACCTTTCATTTTATATAAAATGATTAAAACCTTTTTTACTCAAGATTTTATTACCGAGAAACCACACTATGAAGACAACAGTCTCAAGCAGATCGAAAAAAATCGAACATGTGAAATAAAGAATTAACAACTCAATCAAACTTGCTTATAGTCAAAGTAGTTACAATACTAACAACAATTATCAATACTCTTCGTGCAATTGTAGGTTTTGTAAGCAAGAGTTTCGAGGAGAGTTTTTGGCCAAAGTTGTAACAAGTACATTACAACAAATGTAAGCACATTATCAAAATGTATCGCAATTATACAAAACTAGTGTGGGAACCGCGCGTTGTGCAGTAGCATAAACACTTTGGTTAATGATTCGAAGATTGTCTATATAAATATATATTAGTTGTTAATAAAATCATCAACAAATAATATTCAAATAATTCAAAAAAATTAATTAATGAAATTTTAATATATATACATATACACACACACACACATATATATATATATATACACACATACACACACACATATATATATATATATATATTTGTTTAAGAATAAAGTTGTAAAATTAAATAAAATGAGTAATAATAATGACGGGGTATGGATAATTTATGCATTGTTTATCTTATTGATGATGAAGTTTTTTTTTCTTTTTAAAAAAGAGGATGATACCTCTGCTGATTTTTATTAAGAAATAAATAAGTGTACGTCTAAATCGTACGGTAACTTATTATATGTATAAAAAATGTGGTAAATAAAAACTTAATCTATAAATAATATAAAAAATATTAATCGATCATTAATACATATAAATTATACGTACATAATAGGTTTTGTTCATCACTTAAAAAAAGAACACATAATTGATCGATCTCGAAAAATATTATAATGTGGATGCATCCAAATGTGGGTAAACCACATTAAACCAGGGTCAAGTTTACTTTTAAAATTCAATCAATCAAATGCACGATTACAGATTCATAAAAAAATTAGTTTTAACCAAAGGGTCTTTGGCTTAAACGATATCGGAACATTTGACTTTCTACGAGGTTAGGGATTCAAATCTCATTAAAGATTGAAAAAAATGCACGAGTTTATTTGTTGTATTTACCGTATATAAATATTATCTATACTACCTTATAAACCAGATTTATCAAAAGTTTTAAAAACAATTTTTAATGCACAAAGTACTTACATTTATGCACAAAATCTTAAAAATAACTCATAATGCATTAAGTACTACTACTTTAAACAATTAAGTCTTAAAATCTCTTAATCTACAATTAAAATAACATATAGTGCAAGTTACCAATGCACATTATTACCTTTTATTTTCATGTTCTCAAGATACTTTTTACAAATTTCACTTATGTTTTCACCCTCTCATACCTCTATGTCTCTTTCCCATCCCCCAATGTGAGATTAAACTAATATTCACCATAAGTTATTAAAAGTTCTCTCATTCATCTCTCAATCAATTGCTCTAAAACTCTCGGTCTCGCTTTCGATCTCTTGATTCTTTGCTCTTGGTGTAAATCGAACATATTTGTGAAGTCGTTTAAATATGTTGGATTTTAAATATATTAAATTTTAAATTATCATACAATTTTTTTCATCGATGGACTCTAATTGGAATCATAACTCTTATTTATTCAAATTGTATCAATATGTAAAGATCAATTGTAACTTATATCATCGTTAAATCTTCTCTAATAAAACCATTGAAACTTCAAAATCATTAAAATTCAAGGCTCCTACCACATTGCACGGATACACAACTAGTATATATACTTAAAAAAGTAGTTATGGCAATTTCCAATTTCATTTTCTTGTGTTCATTTTACTTCTTGGACAAATACTATTACTCCATAATTATGAATGTTCGTTGCGTGTGGGTATTCAAATTGTTTATATATATATATATATATATATATATATATATATAAATAAGTTGGACCCTTAATCTTGGAATTATATGTATTGTGATCATAGTTTTTTTCAGGTCACAAACTTAAAATAGATCCATATAATCAAGTGGCAAGTGATTGATTGAGAATCTGTCTTTTTCAATTTTTTGTATACTTACAAAACTTCATATTCAAATGAAGCATATTTAGAAATACGTATATATGTATGCATCATGCATATGTTCTTGGTACCACTCACCTAAATATATGTATATAGACAACTTTTAAACCGTGTGTGTTTTATTTTTTACCTTATTTTCAATCTTTTATATGTTTAATTGGTATAAAGTGTTATTAGATAACGAATCATATATATAGATCCAAATTTAGGAACAGATCGACCAAGAGCCCTAAAGTCGGTCACCAATTTAGGTATGGCATTGGGGATCCTCCTTGATCATGGGTAACCAGATCGAGTTTTGTGCGATTGAACTTTTTTACTATCATGTTTAGGATCTTATTGGATTAGTCAAGACATACGTAAGATGGCTCGGGTACCAATGATTACCAAAAAAAATTAATAAAGAGCCGAAGAGAATTCTCAAGACAAAAAAATCGGTGTGCATGGGAATAAAGTTTATTCGTCAAATAAGAAAAAGATTGGCCTTAACTAACTCCGATAGAAGGATTAAAGAGAAATCCTTTCACATGGGTTGTACTCGATTAACGTAAAGAAATAAGATCCATAGCTACAAGGGTGGTGTTTGATTGGTTTGAGCTTGGACTTCCAAGGTCAAAAATGTGTGGAGGTCTTAAGTTCAAATCCAAGGAGGAATAAAAATTCTCTAGTGGTCATGTAGGTTCAAATGTGGTGACTCCGGGCTACCCGCAAAGCAGGTGGTCATCATGTAGTTAGTCAGCTCGCATAGCGAATTGGATATCTAGGTTAATCATATAAAAAAAATAAGATCCATTTCACTACGAAACATCGTGGCCTACCGAAGGACTCAACCGGTGAAGACAATTTCCAACATATTTCAGTTGGAAAAAGGATGTCGGAACTAGGTTGGTCGGTACATTATACTAATAATAGTTATGGGTTTTAAATACAGGTTTTAAATATTTACTGAAAAATTATTTAAAAAAAAATAATTTCAAAAAATATGAAATACATTACTGGCGAATTACCGGCGATTAAATCCGTCGAAAATATTTAAAAAAATATAAATTAAATTTCTAACGGATTACCAACGGTTCTATCCGCTGGAAATATTTAAAGAATAAAAATAAAAAATTTTAAATAAAATTAAAATTCCGGCGGAAAAATATACCCGCGGATTTCTGGCGGGTATATCCGCCGATAATGCAATTAATTTTTTTTTTTAAACTCGCTAACATTTTTTTTTAATTTAATCAAGGTTTTTTTTAAATAAACCGGGAGGAAATTTCCGCCGGTCATTTTCTGCCGGAAATATTTAAAGAATAAAAATAACTTTCTAAAAATAATAATTTAAAAAATATAAATTAATTTTCCGACGGATTACCGGGGGTTCTATCTGTCGAAAATATTAAAGAATAAAATTAATTATTCTAAAAATAAAATTAAAAATTCAGGTGGAAAAATATACCCGTGGATTTCCGACGGATATATCCGTCGGTAATTCGATCCAATTTTTTTAAAAAACTCGTTAACATTTTCTTAATTTAATCAAGTTTTTTAAATAAACCGGGGAAAATATCCGACGGTCACTTTCTGCCGGAAAACCAAAAAATCCGCCGGAAAATTAATCATCGGCGCCTCATTTTACGGCGGCCCTATCCGCCGAAAACTCTGTTTTCGAGCAGATAGGACCTCCGAAAATGTTAACCAGTTTAGTAGTGTGAATAAAATAGCGTACTTATCAAGGGCCCTTTTTCACATCTCACTCAGAGTCTAAAGAATGTCAGGAACGAGTCTGGCTCCTTTCCTCGACAATCCCTTGATAATATATTTATGTTTTTTTTGCCTTATAACATTGTCTATCTTCTCTAGGTAATTCATCAACAAATTTCCAACAAGCTTTGCCATCACTAATGCCCATATGTAATGCCAAGCTCTCTAGTAGTGTTTATCTTTGAGATAGATTTTTCCTATTGCACATGCTTGAGCCATCGTTAATGCCTAAGCGGCTGTTTACAAAACGTTTACGGGTAAGCGTTTACCAAGTCATATTACCTCATCGGATGAATATGGAAAGTACCAAGAATCTTACTTGGTAAGAGTGAGACAAAGACCAAGAGTCTTACCCAGTAAGTGAGAGCGACGACTCTTACCACGGTAAATTAACTATTCTAACTACGTGCCTTTCAATTAATGACTAACTACTGATTGGTAGCTGATTAGTTATATAAAGTCCAATTAATGACTCTTGTGCCCTTCTTATTTTAATCACATGTCATAAGACCGAAAACCGTTGGCTTAAATACCCAAGCGAAGCCGTAATCAAACATAAGGAGGTGTTTGGTTCAGACAGAGAAATAAAAATGGGAATGAAATTTCATTTCTCCCAGTTTAACCTGGAACGAAAATTTGGGTTTTTGGGGGAATGAACTGTTATATTATATAAAAACAAACAGTTTCTTTTAGTTTTATTTATTGATTACTACTTAATACCTCTAACTAAGCACCTCTTCAGTGAACTAATTAAAGGTTGATATGCCTATTGACGATTTCATTTTTCCTATATCAGTTTACTCCATATGGAAATGCGCCAGAAAATGCCCAGTTGTTTAGTAGTGCATGTTATAAGCTGTGATAGAGAAATAATAAACAAGGAGATAATGAAAGAACTTCATATAATCAATATAGATCCGATTAAGTCAATATATAACACCACCCTTGTAATTAAGTGGATGAAAATACATAAAACAAGTCTGGACACAGAAAATATCTGAGCTTGTTCAGATTTATGCAGGATATGACACAGACAACACATATTCGTGGATTTGAAGTGATTCAGGAGTAGATCGATCAAAGGTACTGCTTCAGGTAATCATCCATTTTAGTGTATTTGATATCGGGATAAAGAAGAGAAGCTTCTTCAGCATCATCTCCGATCTCGAAATTTGTAAGGCATCCATGGTAAAAGATATGGTAGTAATGAGTTAACCCCACCTGTTCGGCATACCCTTCACCTGTTATAGTGCCCCCAACACAGTTGCAGACCATCATGAAATTTAATCAAGAAATGGAAATGGAAATGGAAATGGAAATGGAAGTCGAATGGTCGGATAAAGAGGTTAGTCACCTTTCATGATGTTGAGAAATTCTTGTTCGGAGAGAGATGACTTGTTGAGTTGTTTACCGATGAGCTTCTCCCAGAGTTCCACGACTTCCCTTTGCGAAAGAATGTTCACCGGAGGTCTCAGATAGACCGTCTTGTTAAGAGTGCGGGGATCATCTATCGTTTTGATTGCATATTTTGCTATGTCGTCTTCATCAACAAATATCGCTACACAAACATAACTTGTGATCCTTTTTCGGATTATATACATATATATATATAGAGAGAGAGAGAGAGAGATGTTGAAGTTGTAACTTACATTTTTGATTGCCATCTCCCATCAAGACAACGGATTCCCGCGAAGGAAGAATGTGGCCGGGTTGACACAACCCTCCAACCATGTAACCAGCGAAGCAATTCGCAGATACGTACGTGAAAGGGATCTTGGCATCTTCGATAGCTTTTCTCACCACCATTTTGTCGTCAAAGGTCACTCGTCCTGGTTCGATTGCATTGCCCATTCTTGCTGGATCGGTACCAAACTCAGATGGCAAAAACCTCTGATAATATTTATAATTACCATTAGCCAAATGCCCATGTACATTACCACTCATTGATAGGCAAATTATATAAAATCCCTTTAAAAAGTGATTAAATTTGAAGGGTATACATACCTTAATGTTGCCAGCCTCTTTGATGGCATCAACAAGTTTAAGCTGAAGCAAGATTTGATGGCTACGGATATGCACACCAGACACTGCACATATCACGACGTCGACCTGCTTCACGGCCTCAACAAGACTACGATGATCATCAAACGAAGCGGTGACAAGTCGAGCTCCCTGCTTCTTGAAGGACAGCAACATCTGGATTTTCTCGATATCGACACCGATCTCTGGTCTTTTGAGAACGTATGTCTCGTGACCTTGTTCTAAACTGGCCTTCACCAGTCTCTTCCCCAAGTACCCAGTCCCCCCAATGATCAAAACTTTGCTCTTCACCGCCATTGATCTGTATGTGCATGTTCAATGAGAATATCGAGTTATATATATATATATAAGCAAGTTTTTGAAGACAAACATTTGTTGTTGAAACTTGAAGCGTATGGTAATGGGGATCTTTCAACAAACCAAAAAAAGGTCACGTGAAGCACAAAATCAACAAAATTTAGAGGAATAGAAACGTAGGCTTGTCATGACCTCCATGGATGTCATGGTGTCATGGTGTCAAAGAAAAGACATGACAGATGTCCATTTTTGGTAAATTGTTAGCTGAACAATACCTGATGTATGTCTAGAATCTTGGTGGAGCCACACTTCTTTCCTCTCTTTCTTTTGCTTGTCTTTGACAATAAGATAATTACTTGATTAAAAGCTTTGTCTTTTGCTTCTCTTCGACATGCCATCATCATACGTGTAACCACTGTACTACTACAAAAACAAATCATTCAGGGAAATTTTTATCGGAGAAAAATATCAGTACCTCCGGTAGAATCTGATGTTTTTTAAGAAAATATCATAAAATACTTAGGAGATCTGTCACTGATTTGAATTACTCACCAATTTTTGTGACAAATCACCGTTTAACAATGGATTTTCCAGAGAAAATATTTTGTAGGTAGTATTTCATTTAGTGATGTAAAGTTGTAGATTTTTTTAATTTAAAAGGGAACAAACATATACATCTCACTTTTACTTATAAATCAGAGTTTATTGTTCTTATGGGAATAGATTAATACAGAAAAAGGTTTAAACAAATTAATAGATATATATTAATTAAAATTAAATGATGGTCTGACTCGATAATATCATATACAAAACGTACAAGTGTTGGTAATGATGGGATTTTGAAAACTCAGCCTAACCTAATGAAACCTTGTTCCTTAATACTACCAAACAAGTTAATATTTTTAGCGATTTTATCCGTCGGAAAACAGACTTTATAGAGGATAGGGCGTCGAAAAAAAGAGACGTCGGTGATTAATTTTCGCGGCAGAAAATGGCCGCCAGAAATTTCATTTTCCACCGGTTTATTTTAAAAAATATTGATTAAAGAAAAAATTAACGAATTTTAAAAAAAAATTGAATTAAATTACCGTCGGATATTTGATTTTATTTTTAAAATAAAAATTTTTATTCTTTAAATATTTCTGACGGATATATCAGTCGGAGATGTATTTTATATTTTTTTTTATTATTATTTTGTGGATAATTAATTTTTATTCTTTAAATATTTTCGGCGGGTATATCCGTCGAAAATTTATTTCATAATTATTTTAAAATTAGTAATTTTAAAATAATTTTTTAATAAATATTTAAAACCTATAAATCTGTAAATATTAAAAAAAAACTAAAAAGATGAAATGTCGCTAAATATCATACATTAAACTAAACAACAAGTATTCCGACCAATTTAAAGTAGCACACAATTGTTTCCAAACAAAAATTAAATTGTTCCAAACAAACAGACGATATTCAACAAGGTGGTGGGGGGAAATGTTGAGATTGACTGAGTTATCTAACCAAAGCAATCATATCTTCAAGTTGTTTATCTCATATCTCATCCAACACCTGTCGACGCTCCTCCGCCTCAGTCCGTTGTTGCTCCTCCGTCCGTCGGTGCTAATTTTCTTCCTGTAAATCTCTAAGTTCGGTCCTTAAGGCTTCAATTTCTATAAAATACATAAAATGTTATAATATTTAATATGAATTATAAACTAAATCGATAAACATCATCAAAGGAAAAGAGACACATACCCGACTCTCTGAAGACAATGGACCACCTTGTGTGTTCCCAGTCAAGACCCAATTGGGATCTTGGTTGTACCCAAACCCAAATAAACGGTTTTTCTTGTTTCCTTCAACCGCCTTCTCCCACAACTCTATATCAACTAATGGATCATTGTCATATCTTTGGGTGAGACCCATTGTCATCCTATATATGGTTTAAAAAAATTACAAGTCAATTTTGACAGCATGACGGCTGTAAATGAGATGTTTCCAGCAAAACAATAGTGATACATAGAAATTTATAGCCAAAACAATCCTAACGTTTGCCCAACAAATGGCAACTCAAACTAAATATTGATACATACGAAATTTCTAACTTAAACAATCCTAATGTTTGCCCAACAAATGGCAACCAAAACTAGATATATATATATATATACATATATATATATATATACACACACACACATACACATAGATTTTAATTTAAATGACTCGAATGTTTATCCAACAATTAGTGGCAACCATGACTAGATAGATAGTTACGTACACAATTATAAATGTTAAAACAGATAGATACTTACCATGACCTGGCTACACTTAGACATACCCCCCAGAATTTGTATATGTGGCATCTCACTCGACCTCTTCTTATCTGAATAATCGAACAATTCCACAACGGTCGATGGCACACCATCTTTTGTTTGTGTCTATAAAGGTCAAATAATACGAACATGTGTTAGTTATAACATATTAAAAATCAAGCTATTAAAGTAATGGGTTTTAGGTCCTACCAGACGAGCACCATGCTCCGAAAATGGGATCGATCCACCGGTGTGTAGCGCAACTTAGTTATCACGGTTCTCACGCGCCCCACCGGAAATAGCTCTCCAATTGTCATTGTTCCAACGATCGACCATCTGGATCCACACATCTGAAGAGATCTAGCTGGAGGGAAGTTCTTCAACACACTCATATCTCGGTGTGGGTCGGTTTCATCGTATTGAGGATACTATTTCTCTTTGATTTTTCCCCACCTTTCTTCCTTGCGGCACTCAAGTTGTCATCATATGGCTTGGCCGAATTTCTCTCCCATGTCTCTAGAATTTAGGCGTCCAAAGCCGAATCCCAAGTGTAGTAGCCCTGTACGTAAAAGTTTAGTCGATTCTTAGGTTCAAAAAAATAGTAAAAATATAACAAGTTAAATATATACCACGAACCTGGTACGATCCCACATTCGGCGTCTCACGTCCCTTGGAATTTTTTCGCAAGTGACCTATGGGTTGTCAAGCATCTCTCGGTTGATCTTGGTGATCTGATGGATCACTCTAGTGTCATTAAAACTATACAAATAACGAATTGAATTAGCATCAATACAAAAAACAATTACTTTTATCAATTAAAAGATATTAAAATGTATTTACTCTTTGTCGCGGATGCCAATAACCGTCCGCTGCTATGGAAGCGGCTCCGGAGCAGCGCTACCACTGGCAGACTCTATCTCCTCCAGGTGTGCCGAAGCACTACTAAAGGCTCTACCCATACCGCGACTAGGTGTAATGCCACTACCTTGACCGGTAATCCGAGTACGTGGCATTATCGATTTTTCTACAAAGCAATGTGAGATACATACAACAATAATTCAAGTATATAATAAAGATTCCACATAATAACAGATGTCGAACAGTAGTTTACTAAGATTTAAACATGGAAAAAATACAGATTTAAAACAACTAGACAAAGTTTACTAAGGCGAAAATTAACATGATAATTTAATCATCTGAGGAGTGTTCAGACAATTCAAGTTCTTCGTCATCAGAATCACTATCCGAGTCTTGGAACTCCTCTTCTTCGGCACTACTTTCATCAACATGCTAGTTGTCATGACAATCATTGGCAACTTCGATGTCGTCTTCCCCTGTGATAAGATGGATGAGTTTTTGCACATCTTCATTTCCCCCAACTTGAGTTATTCTATCATTTTCTTGGAAAAACTGTTATTCGTCCATATTTTCATCTGACGGTACTTCAAGGGTACTCGATGCTAAGTCATAGACCTCTATTGGCTTTGTCTTCACCACAGACCACCAATCTTTTAATGAATTTGATGGATATGGTACATAATATACTTGTTCAGCTTGTGATGCTAGGATGAACGGGTTGTCTGAACGAAGTCTTTATCTGTGTTTGACGTCCACGAGATTATGTTTTGGGTCAACTCGGACGTTGTTAACTATATCAAACCATGTGCATCTGAATATTGGGATAACACAGCGACCGAGTTTGTACTCATGATATTCTATATCTAGGACTTCATCCAACAATCCACTGTGGTGCAATTCTATCGTAAGCTAACGTGTGAAAACTTGTAACCGTTTACAAATAACCCTGGGCGTCTCCAAACTGTACGTATCAGTTTATATGCCAAAATCCTCACATGATCGAAAGTATGGCCCGACCGAGACATAACCTATAATCATGTCATTTGTAAAATTTTATTAAGTACATATAAATAATGATGAATAAAATTTAATATGTATACACTTACGTGGGTATGAAACCATCCAGCAAAGTGATCGTCTCTACGTTTGTCGAGTCTCGCTTCATCAATATATGACTCTCTACTTTTAATCTCCGTATTGAAGATATCTATGAACGGAAAAACTTCTTCACAATTCAGTAAAATGTATGTGTGAGCTTTGTGCATATCTTCATCCGATAGATTAACATGTGTTCCGTCTTTATCAAGTAATCCTCGACACGGAGTTTTAAATATCTTTAACCGTTGGTCTGAAGATGAACAATCGGGGCAAAATTCTGAGGCTCACGGTTCAGCCGTGTCTCTACCGTTGTTTCAAAATACAACGAGCAATAGGTAGATAGTTCATTAACCAAATATGCTTCTACAATTAGCCCTTTTACCCTTGCTCTTTTTTTCATTGTCCTTTTCAACGACCCTAGACGTCTCTTATAGAGATATATCCATCGATATTGAACCGGACCTCAAACTATTGCTTCACGTGCCAAATGTATCACAAGGAGTTCCATGGAATCAAAGAATCCCGGTGGGAAAACTCTTTTCAACTTGCAGATAGTTTCCACTATACTTGTCTGCAATTGAAGCAAGTCGTCAACGTGTAACACCTTCGAACATATTGCACAAACGAATGTGCACATCTCAATGATAGCATCCCATATCGGAGCCGGTACCATCCTTTTTATAGAAAAAGGGAGCAGTCTTCGCATGAACACGTGACAATCATGACTTTTGAATCCATAGAAACTATTATCT